TCCACACATTTAGTAACTTTTCTATCTTATTTAGCTGTATTGACCTTTTTATGATTCTTTCAGGTTACAATCTGGATTACTCATTGCACATGCTTTTGTCTTCAACTCATTTTTTTTTGTTTTATGAATTGTTGCTTCATTGAGACCAAAGGCACAGGCCATCTGATGTACACCACCTTTATGCATATCTAAAAATCTTAATTTTTTCAAAATGCTCACACTTCCATTTTTTTTTGGCATATCCAGCATCACTAGTATGCTTCATGGGTACCATAGTTAATATCCTAGAGACAGTTTGGGGTAATGAAAAAAAAAATTGATTGAATAACACATGACTGAGTAATGTAACTGCAAGGGAAAGGGAAAATATCCCATGGTGTGTTCCAGTAAGACTTAGCATGTGCAGTGGACTGATACATTTGTTTCCCAAAATTTCTGGCATGATCTACTAGTTTTCTTTCCATGCAATATGGACTTGGTTACAATATTTGGTGCAATTAAGGAAAATTGCTCAAAGTTAATTAGATATACAGACGAAAGTTCTTTAACCCTTTGACTGTTTCAGTCGCATATATACGTCTTACAAGCCAAAGTGTTTGATGTATATACATATACTCAAAAATTCTAGTGGTTTCAAATAACACAATACATGCTGCCCAAAGGACAGTTATCCCATATAAGGAAATTAGATCAAATAGAAATGACCCAAAATGGATGAAAAATAGGCTCAAATATCTTTTAGGACAGAAAAAAGAAATTTATAGGCGCATCAAAAGAGGTGAGGGTCATCATATGAATCAATATATTGACATTAAGAAGGATGTTAAAAAGGGGATAAGAAAAGCTAAACGGGACTATGAAATTAAAGTTGCTAGGGATTCGAAAAGTAACCCAAAAAGTTTTTTCCAGGTTTATAGAACAAAAGTTAGAGATAAGATAGGTCCCCTTAAAAATAACTATGGGCATCTTACTGACAAGGAGAATGATATGTGCTCTATTCTTAATAATTATTTTCTCTCGGTTTTCACTCAGGAAGACACTAACAATATCCCAGTAATTAATTTTTATAGTGGGCCTGAAGATGATAAATTATGCAATATCTTAGTCACTAGTGAAATGGTTATCAAACAGATAGACATATTAAAGCAAAATAAATCCCCGGGCCCTGATGAACTTTCTTCAAGGGTTCTTAGCCCTTTCAGGGTCCAGAGGCCAAATTTCAAAGTATGCACCAGGGTCCAAGAATTTTCAAAAAAATAGTTTTATTTTTTCTTATGAAATGGTAGAGAATCTTTTTCTGAAGGTAATAAAACAAAAAGTATGAAATTTGATGGAAAATTGACGAAATTATGCGCGCGAATTTTGATAGTGTCAGCGATATTTATGCATCGGCGATTTTGCCGACCTTGACTCCCATTTTAGGGCAATTACAGTATCCCAGTCAACCACATTCTTAGCTGTTTCACTAGTGTAACTTCTATTTATCAATTGAGCACAAGAAATTGCCAAGTCAAATGTTTCAGCAACAAAATAAAGTGACCAGAAATTGGTAATTTGGCCAATTTAATGTAAAGTTCAGAATATTACAATTTCAAAATAGGATCCAAAATAAACAATGCAGGCATTCCTGGCACTAAACTAACATTTCCTCTGTTCATTAGTTACATTTTCAGGCTTTACAAATGAATTCCATTTTGATTTTTTATTCACATAATGAATTTTTATTCAAACCAAAAAATATAAGATTTACTGCTATGCAATACTGTAATAATTGTATAAATAATATCACCACATTTGTGAATGTATATTAGACTCGCCAGCTGTCATGTATTAGACTTGTGAGGTCATTTGTTTATTCTTGAACATCGGCAAAAATTGAACATTTCTGCTACTTTGAGCTCAGTTTCAAGCCATTCCCAGTACTAAAACCAATCAAAATCATCTCTATTTCTGTAGTATATCTTCCATTCTATCAAATGAGACCAAGAAATTGCAAATACAACTATAAAAAACACATGAAAAAACACTGCAAAGTCGCTGTTTTAATTGAAACTTACGGTCTCAGTTTTTTTCTCTCGTTATGCACTCTGTGCTGCCGGATTTGTTTTATGTGGTGCACACATACCACATAGATGGATTCTCTCATATCTAGGCCCAAATTTACTGCTCACAGCTTATCAGAGTGAGCTGAGCTCATGGCATAGATCTACGGTTTGGACCCTGAATGTAAAGCCGTAGATTTACGGCACAGACCCTGAAAGGGTTAAAGAGTGTAAAATGGAACTTTGAACCATTGACTAATATTTTTAATATTTCTTCAAACAGGTGTAGTGTCTGATATGTGGAAGATGGCTAATGTAATTCCTATTTTTAAAGCAGGAGACAAGTCTTTCCTGTCAAATTACAGCCCAATAAGCCTAACCTCAATTGTAGGCAAATTACTAGAGTCAATTATAGCTGAGGTTATAAGAAGCCATCTCGATAAGCATAGCTCGATTGATGATACTCATCACGGATTCACGAGAGGCCGTTCTTGTCTAACTAATTTATTAACCTAATTCAGAAAAGCTTTTAAGGCCATTGATCATGATAAAGAATTCGATATTGTTTATTTAGATTTTAGTAAGGCTTTTGATAGAGTACCGCACCAGAGACTGTTAAAGAAAGTGGCAGCTCATGGCATTGGGGAAAAAGTGCTGTCATGGATTGAGTCATGGCTCACCAATAGGAAGCAGAGTGTATGCTTAAATGGGGTTAAATCCGAGTGGGGATCTGTAACAAGTGGCGTTCTACAGGGATCAGTCTTGGGCCCGTTGCTGTTTATAATATATATCAATGACCTTGATGAGGGAATTATTAGTGATATGAGCAAATTCGCCGATGACACAAAGATAGGTAGGATAATTGATTCAAATGTAGATGTCATGGAGCTTCAGGAGGATTTAGACAAACTCAGTTCCTAGTCAGAAAAGTGGCAGATGCAGTTCAACGTAGATAAATGCAAGGATCTGAAACTCGGGAGTGTCCATAAACCTAGTAATTACCAGTTAAATAACGTAGGACTTAGCCATACTGATTGCGAAAAGGACTTGGGGGTTATGGTAAGCAGCAACCTTAAACCAAGACAGCAGTGCCTCAGCATATGTTATAAAGCAAACAGATTACTGGGATTTATATCTAGAAGTGTAAGCAACAGAAGTCCAGCGGTTATTTCACAGTTTTATACATCATTAATAAGGCCTCACCTAGATTATGCAGCTCAGTTCTGGTCTCCATATTACAGAATGGATATAAATTCACTAGAAAACATCCAGCGTAGAATGACCAAATTAATACGATTGAGGACTCTCAAAACTACATTCACTTGTAAGACGAAGAATGAGGGAAGACATGATCGAAGTGTATAAGTGGAAGATGGGTATTAACAAAGGGGATATAAATAAGGCTTTGAGGATATCCCTTCAAGAAAGAACCCGCAATAATGGATTCAAATTAGATAAGTTTAGATTTTGAAAGGATATAGGAAAATATTGGTTTGGAAATAGGGTAGTTGATGAGTGGAACAGTCTGCCTAGTAGGGTTATTGAAGCTAAAACATTGGGTAGTTTCAAATTTAGGTTGGATAAATACATGAGTGAGAGGGGTTGGATTTGAGAGAAACTTGCATAACGAGTAAATAGAATCATCAGAACTTATTTCTTGGGTAGCATTGAAAGTTGGGTTGGGCAAATATTTTGTTTGTGAGAAGGATTGTAAAAGACCTGCCTAGTATGGGTCAACAGGCCTACTGCAGTGTTCCTCCTTTCTTATGTTCTTATGTTCTTAAATCAGGAGGGAGAAAGCTGGTAGGCCCACATGTGAGAGAATGGGTCTGTGTGGTCAGTGTGCGCAGTACAAAAAAAATCCTGCAACAAGCAGTGAATAATGAGAAAAAAAAATCCGACCATGTTTTTAGATTAAAATGCCGACTTTGAGGTGTATTTTTGTATAGTTTTTATGGTTATATTCTCGTTTTCATAGTCAAATTTGATATAATGGAAAATATATTATAGAAATGGCAGCGATTTTTATTTGTTTTACTATGAAAAGGACCTTGAAATGGGGCTCATAGTAGGGGAAATGCTTGATTATTGCCGATGTTGAAGAGTAAACAAATGACATCATTGTCCAATAAATGTCCAGCTAGCCATTCTAATATGCAGTCATGAATGGATTGATATTATTTATACAATTATTACAATATTGCAGTGGGTCTGCATAACAGTAATCTTCTTTTTTTTGTTTAAATTTAAAATTTCAAAATAGCGAAAAGAGTAATATCAGAGGGGCCTGGAGGTCGTGACTGATGAACAAAGAAAATGTTATTTTAGACCCAAGAATGTCTGCATTGTTCATTCTGGACCCTATTTTGAAATTGGATATTTTATAATTTGTGTGAAATTGGCCAATTGCCAATTTCTGACCACTTTATTGGGTAGTTAAAATCAGTAAATGGGCAATTTCTTGTACTGAGTCGATAGACAAGTGCAGTTCTAAAAGAAATAGCTATGAGTTTGGTCGACTGGAACAATGGAATTTGCCAAAACTAGGGATCAAAGTGGGCAAAATCGCTGATTTGTAAATATCCCCAAAGGGTTTCGCTAACTTCGCGAGAGCATAATTCCGTAAGGTTTCTGTCAATTTCTACTTTTGGTGTCTTACCATTGGGAAAGATTCTCTATTATTTCATAAAAATTTTTTTTTTTTTTTTTTTTTTTTTTTTCAAATATTTTGCAACACCAGGAAACACCTCAAGATTTGAGGTTGCGACAGTCAAAGGGTTAAAATCATTGCAAAATATGAGTAAATGTAGCAGGATCAAAAAGTTTCCTTTCAACTGAATTTAGAAAAATCACTACAAAAAAAATTACCCACTTTTGCAGCAAAATCTATTCTAATCAACTTTCAGTGTGTTTTAATGCCATGGTTACATTGTATCATAAGCTTTATTATATCCTTAGGTATCAGAAAGCATGGAGAGAATATGTCAAGTTTCGACACTTATTAGCTAACATGCCAAAACCATCATTTGAGGACAAAAGACGGCTGGAAGCAAAAGAAAACAGGTTGCAAGAGATGAGAATGACATCCAAAATGAAGAGAGATGTCACCATAGCTGTGTCTTCACAAGGATTTTACCGAACTGGGATCATGTGTGATGTAGTTCAGGTTAGTTTACAAATAGTACTTAATGCTTTTATATTAACATAAAAATGGTATGTATTGCTACTGCCTGATTGAGGTCATATGCTTGCTATTAGAAAAAATTAATGATTTAGTACTCTGACATACCAGATATAGTAGTGACTATTATGCCAATATGGTAATTATTTCCAGAATTGAATGTGATCCTGCATCTATCATTAATGATCCATGTTTGCCTTTTTTACCATATCCATCTATAAAATCTACCAGTACTTACGATTGTAAATATTATTACAGTATTTTAAGACTATTGAAAAATTTATGTGGATAATAAAATTATACTTTCAAGAAAGTTTTTTAACTCAATTCTGTTTTCATATTACTAGCATGCCATGTTGCTGCCTGTTTTGGTATGTCACCTACGATTCCATCAGTCTCTTGAAGTGCTAGAAGAACGCATTCTCTACAAATTTCAGACCAGGTTTCTGCTTCAGCTGGCTCTTACTCATCCATCATACAGGTTGGTTAGATGTGATTTCATTGTGGGGGGAGAGAGTTTCGGTTCTTCGTCTTGCCTCTTACCTTTGATCTTCTGGTGTAATTCAGCCCTTTCTTATCTATTTTTGTACTTCTGTGTAGAATCCACTTTCATTACATCATTGTTCAGCTTATAATTTACAGAAAATAGTATAATGATTTGCTTTGAAATGTTGGTGCAATAGATAAAATTTACAGGTGCTGCATTTAAATTTAGCCCAGTAGAAGACCTTACAAGAAGATAGTGTTTACATTCCAGGTAGGATGTGAATATAGTGGAAACTGACCAGCAGAGTGAAATGATGATGGTCCTCTGGTTTTGCAAGTACAGTAGGGCCCCGCTTTATGGCGTTTCACATTACAGTGTTCCGCTAATACGGCGATTTCAAATTATGACCAAAATTTGCTATACAGCAAGTGGTCTTTCAAATACGGCGCGCCCCACCCGGTTTGTTTACATTCTTCGTGAGCACATCTATTATGTCTGGAAACTTTCCAAAATTTCAAGTGTTTTAAAGTTATTGCATATTTTATGTGTACTCTGATAATTATGCTTATGTGCACCTGTACCTAAATATACTTACACACTGTGCTGGCATGTAGGTACACATTAAAATCACTAAGAATCTCTCTACTCATGACACCATAGTAATACTATGTAATAATAATCTCTCTTGGGCACATTAAATGTCTTATTTTATGTTAATGAAGACATTTTCATTTATCCATCTATGATATTTTCTTCAAAAATTATATAAGAAACACGTTACATAGCATATAAACACTATACATACACCCACAGAATAAAAATTGACATAAATATGAGATTTGTTTACAGAGTGGCTCTGTAGGAGTGTCAGAAGAATTACGCTTTCTCTAGTCAAACACTGGGGTATACCTCTAGATAAATATTCCTTTCGTATGCCTTCACTCTATACAGTGGACCCCCGGTTCATGAAGCCATCGGTATCTGATAAATCCGGTATCCGAAGCATTATTATTTTTTTTTTTTTTTTTTATTATCACACCGGCCGATTCCCACCAAGGCAGGGTGGCCCGAAAAAGAAAAACTTTCACCATCATTCACTCCATCACTGTCTTGCCAGAAGGGTGCTTTACACTACAGTTTTTAAACTGCAACATTAACACCCCTCCTTCAGAGTGCAGGCACTGTACTTCCCATCTCCAGAACTCAAGTCCGGCCTGCCGGTTTCCCTGAATCCCTTCATAAATGTTACTTTGCTCACACTCCAACAGCACGTCAAGTATTAAAAACCATTTGTCTCCATTCACTCCTATCAAACACGCTCACGCATGCCTGCTGGAAGTCCAAGCCCCTCGCACACAAAACCTCCTTTACCCCCTCCCTCCAACCCTTCCTTGCATTATATCGCAAAAAATTTGCCTTGGTTCCCGTTACAAAACCCAGTATGCGATGTGATTCGTACGAGACGTGTCCACGTGTGGCCTGAACTGCCCTGTGTGTGCCAGTGTTTACAAGCTAGCCAGTGTGCGTGCATCTAAGGATACATTCGGTACATTCCATATTATCCATATTATCACTGTTTTTGGTGCTTGTTTCTGCAAAATAAGTCACCATGGGCCCCAAGAAAGCTTCTAGTGCCAACCCATCGAGACCAAGGGTGCTAATGACTATTGAAATGAAGAAAGAGATAATTGCAAAGTATGAAAGTGGAATGTGTGTGTCGGACCGGGCCCAAGTTGTATAGTAAATCCCAGTCAACCCATCTCTACTTAGTGAGCGGGGAAAAACGGCAATCAAGAAAGTGTTCTTGCAAAAGGTGGCAACTTGTGATTACGAAACAGCGACCGCAAGTGTTAGAAAATGTTGAGGGGATGTTATTGGTGTGGATAAATGAAAAACAGATAGCAGGAGATAGCATCTCTCAAGCGATCATTTGTGAAAGGTAGGCAGTTGCATGGGATTTAATTAGAAAAATGCCTGCAATAGTTGTGATGTGAGTAAATTTTAAAGGCCAGCAAAGGTTGGTTTGAAAGATTTAAGAATTGTAGTGGCATACATAGGTGATTAGGCATGGTGAGGTGCCAGTTCAGACCCAAAAAGCAGCTGAAAAATATATGCATGAATTCAAGGAGTACTAGAGGGTGAAGGATTGAAACCTGAACAAGTGTTTAATTGTGACAAAACAGGCCTGTTTTGGAAGAAATGCCAAGCAGGACTTACATTATCAGGAGGAAAAGGCACTCCCCGGACATTAGCCTATGAAAGACAGGTTACTCTTCTGATGTGTGCCAATGTAGTGGTAATTGCAAAGTGAAACCTTTATTGGTGTATCACTCAGAAACTCCCCGAGCGTTCAGGCAAAAGAATATCCTCAAGGCTAATTGTGTGTGCTGTGGAGGGCAAACACTAAGGCATGGGTCACTAGGGACTTTTTCTTGACTGATTACACCATGCATTTGCCCCCAAAGTGAAAAAATTACCTAATTGAAAAGAAATTAGACCTTAAGTGTTCCCGGTGTTAGATAATGCCCTCGTCATCCTAAGACTTGGCAGAGCGACTTTGTGGGGGCATGAGCTTCATTAAGGTCAAGTTTTTGCCTCCTAATACCACTCCTCTCCCGCAGTCCATGGACCAGCAGGTCATTTCCAACTTCAAGAAACTGTACACAAAAGCTATGTTTGAAAGGTGCTTTGAAGTGACCACAGATACTCTATTGACTCTAAAGGAGTCAACCTTAGAGGTAGGCTTGGGAGGGAGTGACTAAGAGGACCTTGAACTTGCTTGGAAGAAACTGTGGCCCAGAATGTGTAGACAGAAGGGATTTTGAAGGGTTTGAGGCTAACCCCTGGGAATCCTATGCCAGTTGGGAATCCATTGTGGCATTGGGGAAGTCCTTGGGGTTGGAGGTTAGTGGGGGATGATGTGGGAAGAGTGGTGTAGGAGGACAATGATGAACTAACCACTGATAAGCTGCTAGATCATCTTCAACAGTAAAGGCCAGACCTGAGGAAACTGCTTCGGAGGAGGGAAGAGAGAAATTGACAAAGTTGCCTACTTCAAAGATTAAGGAAATGTGTGCAAAGTGGCTTGAAGTGCAAACCTTTTTTGATAAAAAATTCCCCTGACACAGCTACTGCAAGCCATGTTGGCAATCTTTTTCACTGACAATGTTGTGAACCACTTTAGGAAAGTCATAAAGGAACGAGAAGTACAGGCCTCTATGGACAGATATGTTGTGCGACAGAAGTCCAGTGACTCTCAAGCTGGTCCTAGTGGCATTAAAAGAAGAAGGGAATTTAACCCCCAGAAAAGGACTTGCTACCTCAAGTCTAATGGGGGGGGATTCCCCTTCTAAACATTAAAAACTTTGACACTCTCCCCCCCTTTCCCTTTCCCTTCAATCATCACCAGATCTTCATTAAAGGTAAGTGTCAATTATTCATTTTGATTATTCTATTGTTATTATTGTTATTTTTAATTATTATTTTGCATTAAACTTAATATTTCATGTGGTAAAAGGTTTTTTCATACTTTTGGGTGTTTTGCACGGATTAATTTGATTTCCATTATTTCTTATGGGGAAAATTGATTCGCTTTCCGATAATTTTGGTTTTTCGATTAGCTCTCAGGAACGGATTAATATCGTGAACTGGGGGTCCACTGTATATAGCAATTCAGACCCCTTGTGAGTTTAGTGCTTCTTTTTTATTATGATTATAATAATAATAACTTGCAATAATAATTTGTAATAACTTGTAATAATAAGTAGTAATGTAGTAGGTTAGTAGACAGCAACCACCCAGGGAGGGGACTACGTTTCTGCCAAGTGAGTGTAAAACGAAAGCCTGTAATTGTTTTAATGATGGTAGGATTGCTGGTGTCTTTTGTCTGTCTCATAAATATGCAAGATTACAGGTATGTCTTGCTACTTCTACTTACACTTAGGTCACACTACACATACATGTACACGTTTATTTATACACACTCATCTGAGTTTTTTTTTATTTTATCTTGATAGTTCTTGGTCTTATTACTTTTCCTTTTATATCCATGGGGAAGTGGGGAAAAAGAATCTTTCCTCCGTAAGCCATGCGTTGTTGTAAAGTCAACTAAAAAAGCTGGGAACAATGGGCTAGTAACCCCTTTTCCTGTAAAGATTACTAAAAAGGGAAAAAAGAAGAAGAAAATTGTCAAAGTGGGAAGTCTGGGAATGTGCCCTGGATGTTGTGGGAAATGATAAGAAAGAGATGATTGTGGATGTTAGAATGAGAAGAAGCTGGATGTCCTGGCTTCAAGTGAAACGAAGCTGAAGGGGGTGGGAGAGTTTCAGTGGAGAGGAATAAATGGGATTAGGTCAGGGGGTTTTAATAGAGCTAAAGAAGGAGTAGCAATAAGTTGAAGGATAAGATTGGCAGGAAAAGAGGGAAAAATAAATGTGTTAATTCAAGGATTATGAGGAGTAAAATAAAGGGGTTGGATTTTGAAAAGTGGGTTATAGTAAGCGTATATGCACCTGGAGAAGAGAGAAGTGTAGAGGAGAGAGAGAGATTTTGGGAAATGGGTTTAGTGAATGCGTGGGGGAGTTTTGAACCAAGTGTGAGAGGAATGGTGGTTGGGGATTTCAGTGCTAAAGTGGGTAAAAATGTTGTGGAGGGAGTAGTAGGTAAATTTGGGGTGCCAGGGGTAAATGTAAATGGGGAGCCTTTAATTGAGCTATGTGTAGAAAGAGATTTGGTAATAAGTAATACATATTTTATGAAAAAGAGGATAAATAAATATACAAGGTATGATGTAGCACGTAATGAAAGTACAGCGGACCCTCGACCAATGATATTAATCCGTTCCTGAGAGCTCATCGTTAATCGAAATTATCGTTAGTCGAGTTAATTTTCCCCATAAGAAATAATGGAAATCAAATTAATCTGTGCAAGACACCCAAAAGTATTGAAAAAAAAAAAATTTTACCACATGAAATATTAATTTTAATACACACAAA